AAAAAAAAAAAAAGAAGGGAGATGTAGCTTGGCTCCTGCCTATTCTTTCTTTTCTTTTCTTTTTTTGGAGATGGAGCTTCGCTTTTGTTGCCCAAACTGGAGTACAATGGCGTGATCTCAGTTCACTGCAACCTCTGCCTCTGGGTTCAAGTAATTGTCCTGCCTCAGCCTCCCGAGTAGCTGGGATTACAGGTGCCCACCACCATGCCCGGCTAATTGTTTGTATTTTTAGTAGAGATGGGATTTCACCATATTGGCCAGACAGGTCTCAAACTCCTGGCCTCAAGTGATCGGCCCACCTCAGCCTCCCAAAGTGCTGGGATTACAAGCTTGAGCCACGGCGCCCCACTCGGCTCCTGCCTATTTCAACTGTGTAGACTGGGTCTACCCTAGCAGCAATTTGACTCCTGGGGCTCCTGAGATACTTTTCAGCAAAAAATTTCCTCAGGCACGAGTCATTTGTTTTCCAAACCCCCTTTTCCGATCTCACTAATTCCCAATTTCCCTGCATTTGACAAATGCAATTAACAAGCCTCAATCAGGCCCTGGCCGACAGCCCTCATCAATCAATACAAAGACTGCACAAGGCTGAGGGGGAAGGAAAGGTAGCCGCAGTATACAGAAGGAGGTCTTACCCCCTCTATTTCTGTGAATGACCCCTCCAAACCTGTCTCAAAATATGACACTGTGTTGTCACCTTCACCAACCTCTTTCTGCCTTCTGGCTAAATACAAGGTGGTATTGTGCCCTCCATTTCCATTTTTAAAGGTTTCTCCCATCAACCTCCTCTATCTCCTGTCTTGTCTTTAACAGAAGGCCTTGCCATCTGCTGCCACCACAGCTTGGGAACTCCCCCCAGTTCCAATAGTGCTGGGTGTGATAAATCAGCTGTTTTTCTGCTCTCAGCAGGGCCTCTTGCCCACCCACACATTCCAGTGACAATTTAGTGCTGCTTCCTGACCAGGAGGCTATAAACTCACCATCACTCCCCTCTCCCCTCCACGCATATACACTGGAGGACTGAAAGGACAAGGATCACCAGCCTTGCGGTTACTACTGCTTTCACAGTCACTTCTTTGTCCTCTCCTTCCCAGGGTCCAAGCCTTCCCTTCCCAGTTGGTTTGAGTCAAGACTTACCCTCTTGACCCTTCTGCTCTGCAAGTAGCCTCAGCCTCCCCTCCCCCATCATCGGGTGACAGCCCTGGAGCCCTGCGTGGTACAGCCCTGTGCGTCTTTCCACCTCATCAACTTTTCATCACTTTGCAAACTGAATCGGGAAGTCTCTCCCTCCTGCCTGCCTCTCTCTCCTTCTCTGTTATTACCTTCATGAGTGGGGACATTAATGTATTCACTAGACAATGCCTTCACACCACTGTTTGCTGTAATTACAGTCACTTCCCTCCCACTGTCCTGGCTTATTTGACTGTAAAGTACTTGGAGGAGGGACAGTGTGGACAAAAGACGCAACACAGGCTGAGGTTGAGAAGTGAGTAATGTTAACATCCAAGAAAGTAAAACAAATAGTCACCTCTGCAGCAGCCCATTAACAACTGGTAACACATAGAGGTCAATGTGCCAGAGCTTAAAAAGTGTTGATACAATTGAAGACCCTTCCACTATAAATAGGATGGAGGATGGGTCACTGTATCTTTATTACTAATGACAGTCACCCCAAGAAACACAAGCAGCTGCATCCACCCTCTTTCAGGGGATAGAGCCACTATACTTCTCATGCAGATCAGCTACATTGTCACTGGAGACTCGGATCCAGCCATCCTCCCGCACATGGTAGAGGTTGACGGCACCTCCTGAGTAGGCATCTCTGTAGGTGGCTTGATAGATGGCTCGACGGGCCAAATCATAGGCCTCCTCCACTTCCAGGTCATAGGAATAGCCCCGATCCATGACCCCATATGCATACACAGAGCCAGAACCTACAGAGAAGGTGGCCCCTGAGATCCGGTTCCCTTCACTGTCCACGTAGTAGAGGCCTGGAATGGGAGATGAGGTTAGCAGGAAAAAAAAAAAGATCACCCCTTTTAATGTCTAATTCGTATGCCAAGGCAGTAGTTTTCTCTCTCTCTCTCTTTTTTTTTCCTCTCTCTTTTTTTGAAATGGAGTTTCGCTCTTGTTGCTCAGGCTGGAGCAATGGCACAATCTTGGCTCACTGCAACCTCCGCCTCCTGGGTTAAAGTGATTCTCCTGTCTCAGCTTCCTAGGTAGCTGGGATTACAGGTGCTTGCCACCATGCCCAGCTAAATTTTGGATTTTTAGTAGACACAGGGTTTCACCATGTTGGTCAGGCTTGTCTCGAACTCCTGACCTCAGGTGATCCACCCTCCTTGGCCTCTCAAAGTGCTGGGATTACAGGTGTGAGTCGCCTCGCCTGGCTGGTAGTAGTTCCCCTAAAACCTAGAATATAATTTTAAAAATAAAAAAAATAAAGAAACCCAGGGAACCAACATAAATACAAGAAAATAGGACTTCTATAAAAAAAATTTTGTTTTTGAGACGGAGTCTCGCTCTGTCACTAGGCTGGAGTGCAATGGCACAAACTCGGCTCACTGCAACCTCCACCTCCCAGGTTCAAACGATTCTCCTGCCTCAACCTCCTGAGAAGCTGGGACTAAAGATGCACACCACCACGCCCAGCTAATTTTTGTATTTTTAGTAGAGATGGGGTTTCACCATGTTGGCCAGAATGGTCTCAATCTCTTGACCTCGTGATCTGCCCACCTCAGCCTCCCAAAGTGCTGGGATTACAGGTGTGAGCCACCTTGCCTGGCTAATTTTTTTTTTTTAATCTAGCTGGGTGTGGTGGTGCATGCCTGTGTGAGGTTGAAGCAGGAGAATTGTTTGAGCCCAGGAGCTAGAGGCTGCAGTGAGCTATAATCACACCACCACACACCAACCTGGCAACAGAGTGAGACGCTGTCTTTAGAAAAAACAAAACAAAACAAACTAAAAAACCTGAAGAAATAAAATTTAATATTAAGACTCCAGGATTCTACAACATACCACCCCATCTCACCTGACCTTACATTATAGTAATGTTGCCCATCCTCTCAGCACACCCACAAAGCGAGTATATATATTCTAAATGACTTAGGTTTCAAGCACAGAACTTCAGATACAGTACTGTGAAAGATAACATTTAAAACATAATCCCTACTCCGCCACCAAAAGACCCCATAATGCCAGTCACTTGAGCCCAGGAGGTTCAGGTTATAGTGAGCTGTGATCATGCCACTGCACTCCATCCAGGCTGTGTGACAGAAAACCAAACTCCATAATCCCAGATCCCAAAGAGTTTAAGACTATCTGAAGAACAAGTCACATTTTACATAGGAGGATAATAAAGCCTAGAGTTCATAATCATATTGTAAAGACCTGCACTGTCCACACGGTAGCCACTAGCCACATGTGACTAGCTGAGCACCTGAAACTAGAACCACATGCTGACATGATAATATTTTGGATTTATTAGGTTAAACAAAATATACAGAAATTAAATTTTTTTCTTTTTAAAAATGTGGCCAATATAAAATTTAAAATTACACGCATGGCTCACATTATATTTCTATTGCTGGTATAGACCAGGGTTTGGCCAGGCCAACTGCCTTCATTTTTTAACTAAAATGTTATTGGAGAACAGCCACTTGTTTCCAGATTGTCTATGGTTGTTTTTTGCAACACCAGCAGTTAAGTATTTGAAACAAAGATTTAGGCCTCCAAGCCTAAAATATTTACTATTTGGCCCTTTATGAAGAAGTTAGCTGACTTTTGGTATAGATGAAAATTTAGAGTTCAATCCCAACTGCCTACTGGATCTCTCCAACTGGATGCCTTTGTCATCAAGTTCAGATTCAAAGTTCCTAACCCTAGATACCAGTGGTTCTCCACCTACCAAACTCATCTCTCCTGTGTGCCACCAACCCACGCTTCCTCCTGTCTTCTGAAATTCTGCCAATGGCATCACTCATCTTTTTCCTATTTTAGTGGTTCTCACATTTAACCATGCACTAGAGTCATCTAACAAAGATTTTTTTCAAAAACGCATAGGACTTACCCTAGGCATTCTTTATAACTGGTGTGGGGTGGGAAACAGGTATGGAACTTGTTTTTTAAGTCCTCCAGGTGATTCTAATGCAAGCCAGCTTGAGCACCACTGCCCTTGTTGGTTTTCACATTCAGGTGATTCTCATGTCAACCTCACTCCTTTCTCTGGCCCCTTCTCAGTCCAGTGCCATGCCCTTGCCTAGGAGGCTCACCATATGGTTCCAATGTACCTCTATGGCTTTATGGCTCGCAATTCCCCTTCACCCCCTTAGTTCCAATTAAACTGGGCTTTCAGTCACTCCTCAAAAGCCTCATGCTTCTTTCCTCCCCTTCTTTGTTCATTATGTTCCCTTTCCCTTTTCCACATCCAGGTCACCTACCACCAATCCATTAAGTCTTCCCCAATTCCTCCCATCGGAAGGAATCTCTTCTTCCTCAATACTCCTTCAGCATTTGACTGGTTCTTTTTATTGATTGATTGATTTTTGAGATGAAGTTTCACTCTCGTTCCCCAAGCTGGAGTGCAATGGCTTGATCTTGGCTCACGGCAACCTCTGCCTCCCAGGTCTCCTGCCTCAGCCTTCTGAGTAGCTTGGATTACAGGCATGCGCCACCACAGCTGGCTAATTTTGTATTTTCAGCAGAGACGGGGTTTTACCATGTGGGTCAGGCTGGTCTTGGACTCCTGACCTCAGGTGATCTGCCTGCCTCGGCCTCCCAAAATGCTGGGATTACAGGCATAAGCCAAGCAGTTCTGATAAAAATGGTATTTATCAGGCCGGGCGCGGTGGCTCAAGCCTGTAATCCCAGCACTTTGGGAGGCCGAAGCGGGTGGATCACGAGGTCAAGAGATCGAGACCATCCTGGTCAACATGGTGAAACCCCGTCTCTACTAAAAATACAAAAAATTAGCTGAGCATGGTGGCGCGTGCCTGTAATCCCAGCTACTCAGGAGGCTGAGGCAGGAGAATTGCCTGAACCCAGGAGGCGGAGGTTGCGGTGAGCCGAGATCGTGCCATTGCACTCCAGCCTGGGTAACAAGAGCGAAACTCCATCTCAAAAAAAAAAAAAAAAAAAAAAGTATTTATCTTATTCATTCAGCCTTAGATTAAGTACAGTCATCCTTTGGTATATGAAGGGGATTCATCCCAAGACCCGTGCATATACCAAAATCTAAGCACACTCAAGTCCTAAAGTTGGCCCTGCAGAACCTGCATATATAAAAAGTTGGCCCAGTGTGGTGGCTCACACCTGTAATTCCAGCACTTTGGGAGGCCGAGTCAGGTGATCACCTGAGGTCAGGAGTTCGGTATCAGCCTGGCCAACATGGTGAAACCCCATCTCTACTAAAAATACAAAAATTAGCTGGCCTGGTGGTGGGTGCCTATAATCCCAGCTACTCAGGAGGCTGAGGCAGGAGAGTCACTTGAACCCAGGAGGCAGAGGTTGCAGTGAGCTGAGATGGTGCCATTGCACTCCAGCCTGGATGACAAGAGTGAAACTCCATCTAAAAAAAAAAGAAAAAATAAAGTTGGCCCTCTGTATGTTCAGATTTCAAATTCTGGTAATGTATATTTTCAATCAGAATTAGGTTGAAAAAAATCTGCATATAAGTGGACCTGGGTGGTTTAAACCCATGTTGCTCAAGGGCCAACTGTAATCTGAGGCAAGGGGATGAATCACAATGAATGTGAGGAGGTCATCAGGAGGGCCTCCTGAAGAAGGTACTATTTAAATGATGCTAAATCTCCCTGGATTTTCCTTGCTACCTGGTCCCTGTACTCTCTTACACTGTTTCCATCACCTGGAACAGAGTTCAAAGAAGCTAAGAGTTCAAAGCAACACTTCCAAAATGCTTCCCTGGACCACGTAAAATATATGAAACTGTCCTTTCACACCTTTCAGTGAAAAGCATATTAATTTCCAAAGTAACAAACTGAGCTCCTCTCTCACATCCAGTTTTTAATTTCCTTTCATCCTCCATTGGGTAGTAAGTTTGAAAGCAAACGAAAAAGTGGTAGGTACCCTGTAATTGTTCTACAAGATAACTAGGTCTTTAGTAAGCAGGTAAATGAATAAAGCAAAAACAAAAGGAGGAAAGAATAATTATTTTTAAGCATATGGAAGAGAAAATTAGAAAGTGACTAGCTATACTCCAGTTTTACCAAAGAACAGCTCAAAATTGGCTGACGAGGAAATGACATAAAATACAAAACTGAACTTTCTGGCAAGTTTCTTAAATGCTGGCTGGAAAGGAAAACAGGCTAAGAAACTTATTTTCAGAGATGATCGAACAGGACCTAGCATGATTATAAAGGTGGTTATAACTAGCAAAAAAATAAAAGAAATGAGCTCAGGCCAGGCGCAATCGCTCATGCCTGTAATCCCAACACTTTGCAGGTCGAGGTGGGCAGATCACCTGAGGTCAGGAGTTTGACATCAGCCTGATCAACACGGTGAAACCCTGTCTCTACTAAACGAGCCCAAGAAGCCCCTTCTAGGTCAAAGACTCTCTAAAAAAAAAAAAAAAAAAAAAAAAAAAAAAAAAAAAAAGAAAGAAGAGGCTAGGTGCGGTGGCTCACGCCTGTAATCCCAACACTTTGGGAGGCTGAGGCAGGTTGATCACCTCAGGTCAGGAGTTTGAGACCAGCCTGACCAACAAAGTGAAACCCCAACTCTACTAAAAATACAAAATTAGCCGGGCATGGTGGCAGGTGCCAGTAATCCCAGCTACTTGGGAGGCTGCAGCAGGAGAATCATTTGAACCCAGGAAGCAGAGGTTGCAGTGAATCAAGACCACGCCATTACACGTTAGACTGGGTGACAAGAGGGAAACTCCATCTCGAAAGAAAAAAAAGAGAAGAGAAATGACTAACTTTTGAGGGACAACCATATATTAGAGTCCAATACAGTAGCCACAAGCCACACATGGCCACTGAACACTTGAAATAGCACTACTGCCACATGTAGGATTCAACGAATTCTTAAATTTTTTTTTTTTTTTTTGAGACAGATTCTCACTCTGTAGCCTAGACTGGGGTGCAGTGGCACCATTTCCACTGCCTGCAGCCTCCACCTCTCAGGTTCAAGTGATTCTTGTGCCTCAGCCTCCTAAGTAGCTGGGACTATAGGCACATGCCACCACGCCCAGCTAATTTGTATTTTCAGTAAAGACGGGGTTTTGCCATGTTGGCCAGGCTGGTCTTGAACTCCTAACCTCAGGTGATCCACCTGCCTCAGGCCTCCCAAAGTGTTGGGATAACAGGTGTGAGCCAGTGCACCCAGCCAAATTCTTAAAATTAATTTCACCTGTTTCTTTTTAATTTTTAAATACTTCCATAAGGAAATTATATTAGATAGTGCTGACTAGAGTTTTTAAGTCTATCACCCAATTTAATACCCAAAAGGAGTTCTTTCTGGTCTTATTTTTATTTTTTGATTCAGAGTCTCACTCTGCTGCTCAGGTAGGAGTGCAGTGGCACAATCTTGGCTCACTGCAACCCCTGCCTCCTGGGTTCAAGCAGTTCCCCTTCAGCCTCCCAAGTAGCTGGGATTAAAGGTGCCCGCCACCATGCCCGGCTAATTTTTGTATTTTTAGTAGAGACAGGGTTTCGCCATGTTGGCCAGACTGGTCTTGAACTCCTGACCTTAGGTGATCCACCTGCTTCAGCCTCCCAAAGTGCTGGGATTACAAGCATGAGCCACCACGCCCAGCCTCTAGTCTTATTCTATAGGAGAGAGAAAAGATGGAAAAATATGAGCGAGATACTATACTAGTAGCTTTACATTTATTACCTCACTTAACCAATGTAACAGATGATAAGACAGAGGCTGCGAAAATATGCATGTATGCATGCCTACTGTCACACAGGTAGTCAGTGACACAGCTGATCTAACTCCATGCCTTTTCCTATAGTACAGTGCCTTCCTTGAATAGAGATGGAACAGGTTTGGTGCAGTGGCTCACATCTGTTTTCCCAGCACTTTGGGAGGCTGAGGCTAGCTTGACCAACATAGTGAAACCCTGTCTCTACTAAAAATAAAAAAACTAGGTTGGGCGTGATGGCTCACCTGAGTTCAGGAGTTCAAGACCAGCCTGACCAAAATGGTGAAACTCAGTCTCTACTAAAAATACAAAAATTGCCAGGTGCAGTGGCTCACACCTGTAATCCCAGCACTTTGGGAGGCTGAAGAGGGCAGATCACCTGAGGTTGGAAGTTCGAGACCAGCCTGACTAACATGGAGAAACTCCGTCTCTACTAAAAATATAAAAGTAGGCGGGCCTGGTGGCACATGCCTATAATCCCAGATACTTGGGAGGCTGAGGCAGAGGAATTGATTGAACCCAGGAGGTGGAGGTTGTGGTGAGCTGAGATCACGCCATTGCACTCCAGCCTGGGCAACAAGAGTGAAACTCCGTCTAAAAAAAAAATACAAAAATTAGCTGGGCATGGTGGTGAGTGCCTGTAATCCCAGCTACTTGGAAGGCTAAGGCAGGAAAATCTCTTGAACCTGGAAGGCAAAGATTGCAGTAAGCCGAGATCACACCATTGCACTCTAGCCTGGGTGACAAGAGCGAAACTCTGCCTCAAAACCCCCCAAAAAACAAAACAAAACTAGCTGGGTGTGGTGGTGGCCACCTGTAATCCCAGCTACTTCAGAGGCTGAGGCATCAGAATCACTTAAACCTGGGGACGGAGGCTGGAGTGAGCTGAGATCATGCCACTGCACTCCAGCCTGAGTGACAGGAGTGAGACTGTGTCTTAAAAAAAGAGAGAGAAAAAAAAAAAAAAAGAGAGAGAGAAGGGCTAAGGACCCAATCAACACATCCTCAGCACTGACACCAAGCCCTTTAATTCATGTCCCCATCCAACCCCTCCTCCCTGTAGTGTCAGCCCAAGGACCACGTGGTTGCAGCTTAACTCACCAGGGCCTCTCTTATCCCAGCCACAGATCATGGTGCCCATGGACAGCCCCATGCCTTTGTACTGATACACCATGTTGGCAAGCAGCTTGGAGGCAGCTGCTACAGAGATGCGTTCCTTATTGCGAAGCTCATAGATTCGACATTGCCGAGCCAACAGCCGTTCCCAGAAGCTGCAATCTGCTGCGCCCCCAGCCATGGTGCCCAGCAGGTATGGGTTGATCTCTATCACCTTCTTCACCGTCTGGGAGGCAATGTAAGCACCTGCTGTAGCCCTGGAGTCGGCCGCAACTATGACTCCATGGCGGAACTGTTAAGGTGAGAGAAAAACACAAAACAGGCCACATAAGACCACAAAAAAACCCCTACGTAGTTCTTTTTGCATCAATTGAAACCCAGCACATCTGTCTTTTTATACTTCACAGTATACTTCTCCACATATTAATGTCACTTGAGCTTCACTTCAATCCTTTGACATGGGTATGACCCATATTAAATTCATTTTATAGGATGGATGTGGTGGTTCTTTTCTGTAATCCCAGCATTTTGGGAGGCCAAGGTGGGAGGATCGCTTGAGGCCAGGTGCTGGAGACCAGTCTGGGCAACACAGGGAAACCCATCTCTACAAAAAGTAAAAAAATTAGCCTGTCGTGATGTGTGCCCATAGTCTCGGCTGCTCTGGAGGCTGAGACGCTGGCACGACTGCACTCTAGCTTGGGGAACAGGGCGAGACCCTGTCTTAAAAAAAAAAAATCATTTTAGGCCGGGCGCGGTGGCTCACGCCTGTAATCCCAGCACTTTGGGAGGCCGAGGCGGGTGGATCACGAGGTCAAGAGATCGAGACCATCCTGGTCAACATGGTGAAACCCCGTCTCTACTAAAAATACAAAAAATTAGCTGGGCATGGTGGTGCGTGCCTGTAATCCCAGTGACTCAGGAGGCTGAGGCAGGAGAATTGCCTGAACCCAGGAGGCGGAGGTTGCGGTGAGCCGAGATCGTGCCATTGCACTCCAGCCTGGGTAACAAGAGTGAAACTCCATCTCAAAAAAAAATAAAAAATAAAAAATAAAAAAATCATTTTATAGATGAGGAAACAGGTTCAATGAGATCGAATGACTTGTTCAATCTAGTTACTGCAGAGTTGGGCAAGGTACCCCAAATGTCTGGTTCTTGGTACAATGCTTACCCTCACCAAGCTTCCCCTTCATGCCAGTTTCAGTTACCCTTGCCTTGAGGGGCCGCCCAGTTTCCAAAACTTTGGTAAACGGCTTCAATAGCCTTCCTTCGGCCAAGGTTCATTGTTGTTGCGGCCTTTCCCCCTTTCCAGCTAGAAGCTCCTGAATAGCAGCAACCTGGGGTCGCCTAGGACATCAACCCAAGAAGCCTCGGCTTCCTTCCCGACTTAACCCCCAACCCCACCACCACCCTCTCCAACCAGAGCGAGGACAGGGAAACCGCTGCGGTCCGAAAGAGAGGACCGAACCTCCGCCTGGGTTGGTGGCCAAGGCCACCGCAAACTCCAGTCAGTCTGGGAGGTCAGGCAGGTCGCGGGCGTTCAGTACTCAGCCTGGCAGGGCGGCTGGCTCCGCACCTTGAAGGCCAGGGTGGTTGTTCCATGAAGCATTTCGATTCCTGGCTCCTCTGGGACACCCCAGCCTGGCACGGCCAGTGTCAGCCCATCACTGGGATTCCCTGGACCCAGATCCAACAGATCTGCACGACCCCCGAGCCCGAAAAACCCGGGCTGGTTCACCGGTAGCGGTCTCTTCAACACGCTGGCCAGCGCCATGTCTAGTGTGGGCAGAAAGAACGAACTCTGACAACGCCTACCAAAGATAGGCTGGGCAACGCCTCGCCGTCATAGCTTCACTTCCTATTAAATCTATTCCAGAAAGGAGCCATTTTGACTGCTGGCAACCACGCCTCCAGAAAGAACAGCCAGATGCGAAAGACCATTTTCACTGAAGAGGGTAGGGGAAATAGATGGCTTCACTAACCTTTAATTCTGAAAGCATGTAGCTGCCATCTTGACTTTGGTCTCGCCAGTAGTCTTGGATCAGAGTAACCTCAAATTCACAGGAAGTGACTGGAAACGTCTATGTTGCGTGAGGGAAGTGAGGTCGGCCATCTTTGAGAAGGGAGTGACTGGTTGAAAATCGGTTCTCAACTCAGTGGTGGGTCCTCCCACTACCGCCCGGTGTCCAAGCAACAGGTTACATCGTTGCTGCTTCAAGCACCTTGTTAACGCGCCGGGGGTTGCCATCTTGTTTAAGGGGACCCTCTAAAATTGGGTACAATGATGATCCATTCTGAGGGCATTTCCCTATGATGTTAGTTAAACCACAGTAATTTGTGGTAAAAAGCGCAGCAAAATAAAAGTGCTGTACCTCTTGTTGTCAGTTGCCATACCACAACTCTACCTTAACAGTAACCGGTTTTTAATATCCAATATTCTCTTGACTCCCACCGTCTGGTGAAAATTCAAATAAGTAATGAATTGCCTAAAAGGCAGATGAAAGAAGAAAAAGCAAAGAGTTCAGTTTATCCACAAAGTAAACTCCCAATTCAGACCTGAATAATTGTCACTAGTAATTTACCATCTCAGAGCCTGGAGGACAGTTGAGACTGCATAAATATGTACCAAGAGATTCTCTAACTTCAACTTGCTAAGATGATGCTCTTTATTCAGGAATGTACTATATTTCATTGCCTCCCTCCACCCACCTTCATTTTTCGAATCTTTTGGGAACTATAACAAACCAGGAAGTGTGCATATGTATGAAATGTTGCCTCCTGCCTTGTGGTTCTATGAAGTCAGTGTCTGGCCTTCCTTGTTGGATCCTAGCAGCAACATCTATCAACATCGAAATTCCACTTTTCTCTTGAATTGGGCTGAATGCCCAATTCAGCCCCTTCTTTCCTGCAGCAGACTCTGCAGATGCTGTTATTTGTTTTGTTTTTGAGATGGAGTCTTGCTCTGTTACCCAGGCTGGAGGAGTGTAGTGGCACAATCTCTGCTCATTGCAACCTCCACTTCCCAGGTTCAAATGATTCTCCCGCCTCAGCCTCCCGAGTAGTTGGGATTACAGGCACCCATCACAATGCCCAGCTAATTTTTTTTTTTTTTTGTATTTTTAGTAGAGACAAGTTTTCACCACGTTGTCTAGGCTGGTCTTGAACTCCTGACCCAGGTAATCCACTCACCTTGGCCTCCCAAAGTGCTGGGATTACAGGCATGAGCCAGTGCACCCAGCCGTATGCTGTATTTTTAATGCTGAAATTAAAAAACCCTTTCCAAGCCCAATCATCAGAATGGAGTTAAGCGGGAGATCTTTGTGTTTCACACTTGGATGGTGTGAAAAATGGAGAGTGCCTCTGTTTACTGAGCATATATTATTTTGCAGTCATCCTTTCAGTGCAACTAATCCTTCTGACTTCTTCCAGTGGGTTTTCACTCTGCCAACAATAGCATTTGTACCTCTCTTAAGGCCCTTTCACATTTTACCTGGTTAGAAATTACATGTATCAAAAAAATAAAAAAGAAATAAAAAAAAAAAGAAATTACATTTATCTCCTACTGGATTGTGAGCTTTTAAATACAAGTATTTACTATTCATTTCTGTGCCCACTGTATGCTTAATATTTGCCAAATTAACACATGAAAGAAAGACAGCAATGATCTTTTAGTCACAAAGGCTTGAAGCCCTTGCTCATCTTTGACAACTCTTTTCTTTCCTTCACATCCAGTTAGTTGCCTGGTCCTGTCGATTATTTCCACTGCACTGTTTCTCACGTTCTTTTTCATTACAACTGATACCACCTTTGGCTTCTTATGTCCTCATTTCAGAACTGCTGAAATAGTCTCCTAACTGATTTATGAGTTTAAACTGTCACTCTCTAATTCATTCTGCACAGCATCAGATTGTTTTTGCTAAAACATCATCTTTTTTTTTTTTTTTGAAATCCATTTACTCTTGTCTCCCAGGCTGGAGTGCAGTGGTGCGATCTTGGCTCACTGCAACCTCTGCCTCCCAGGTTCAAACGATTTTCCTGCCTCGGCCTCCTGAGTAGCTGGGATTACAGATGCTCGCCACCATGCCCAGCTAATTTTTTTTTTTTTTTTGAATTCTTAGTAGAAACGGGATTTCTCCATGTTGGCTGAGCTGGTCTAACTCCTGACCTCAAGTGATCTGCCTGTCGGCCTCCCAAAGTGCTAGGATTACAGGTGTGAGCCACCGTGCCCAGCCTAAAACACCATCTTGATCTTAATACTCACTTACTTAAAAATGTTCTGTGAAGTTCAAGTTCTTTATCTTAGCATTCAAGGCCTTCTATAATCCATTCCCAGCCTACCTTACATGAGTTCTCTGCTCCAAGGTCCCTACTCCTGGGAACCTCATGAAGGAGAAGTACAAATGATAAGTGCAGTGGTTCAGAGGTGGGTGAGGGAGTCAATATAGATTGGAAAGAGGCTATTCATCCAACACTGCTTTGTCAAGGTCTGGATTCGTTTTTTTAAATCTCACTTGGTTCCCTCATAGCCTCTCCTTTCTCAGTCCATACCTGGGAAGGAATTTCACAATAGCCGTTACTTAGGCCACATTGTGGAATAGGATTCAAATAGGTGAAAGGAAGGTGGGAGATGTATTAGGAATAGAGAGAAAAGAGCATGTGATCCATGGATTTAGATTGGACCATAGTGGGTCTTACATGCCAGCTTGGGATAGAAAAGGTAATTTGGGCTGGGTGTGGTGGCTCCCAGCAATTTGAGAGGCCGAGGTGGGTGGATTACCTGAGGTCAGGAGTTTGAGACCAGTCTGACCAACATGGTAAAACCCCATCTCTACTAAAAATACAAAAATCAGCTGGGTGTGTGGCCAGCACCTATAATCCCAGCTACGCGGGAGGCTGAGGTAGGAGAATCACTTGAGCCTGGGAGGCGGAGGTAGTGGTGAGCCAAGATTGCACCATTGCACTCCAGCCTGGGTGACAAGAGCAAAACAAAACTCTGTCAAAAAAAAAAAAAAAAAAAAAAAAAAAAGGAAAAAAAAAAAAAAAAAAAAAAAAAAAAAAAAAAAAAAAAAAAAAAAAAAAAATATTCTTAACTCTCAGCAAGATTCCCAGGTGGTCCTACACCAACAAGAGGAAAAGGACTGGTTGGACCTTAGCATGCCTTTCGGGTTTCTCCAACTTTCCCATGACCATGTTTGCAATTTTTTTTTTTTTTTTTGAGACGGAGTTTCACTCATGTTACCCAGGCTGGAGTGCAATGGCGCGATCTCGGCACACTGCAACCTCCGCCTCCTGGGTTCAGGCAATTCTCCTGCCTCAGCCTCCTGAGTAGCTGGGATTACAGGCACGCACCACCATGCCCAGCTAATTTTTTGTATTTTTAGTAGAGACGGGGTTTCACCATGTTGACCAGGATGGTCTCGATCTCTTGACCTCGTGATCCACCCACTTCGGTCTCCCAAAGTGCTGGGATTACAGGCTTGAGCCACCGCGCCCAGCCTTGCACTTTTTCTTAGTACTGAAACCCCAGAAAGCTATGATGCCACAGCCGCACCATCATGATGTCCAGAGGGTCCAGACTCTTCTTTGTGTATGGGTCTGTTTCTTTAAATAAATCCATTCCCACAGCACCACCTTGAGCTGCAATGTTTAGTAAAATATATGTACGGCATATGGTGCTAGAAGTAGTTGCAGCTTGTCACTCTGCCTCAGTTGACTAGCATTTTGTTTTTTTTTGTTTTGTTTTGTTTTTACTTTGTTGCCCAGGCTAGAGTGGATGGAGTGCAGTGGTGCAGTTTCAGCTCACTGCAGCCTCACTCTCCTGGGCTCCAGTGATCCTCCCACCTCAGCCTCCCAAGTAGCTGGGACTATAGGCACGCACCACCACACCCTAATTTTTTGTATTTTTTGTAGAGGTGAGGTTTTGCCATGTTGTCCAGGCTGGTCTCGAACTCCTGGGCTCAAGCTATTCACCCGCCTTGGCCTCTTAAAGTGCTGAGATTACAGGCATGAGTCAACACACCTGGCCTTGACTTTGACTTTCTCAAGGGTCAGCTGTCAGGGTCCACCAACCCCACCCCAGAACACCCTGGTTGGTCCAAGACTAATAGACTCCACATTATGGAGTTAAGATCAGTGTTTCTCCTACCTTGGAATTACTAGCCACTCTCTTGCCATTGTGAACTATTAGGCAGAAAGGGGAGCAGGAAATAGAAGACCACTAGATCCTTTGGACTTCAACACAAGTCAGAGAAGAGGTACTGTCAGATAACTGTCAGGAATGCCCTCTTTGTATACAGATGGAAGGACATATTTATCTTCAAAGCAGGGAAGAAAGAGACCTTCAGGTTCTAGCTTCCCTCATTCCTTAGGAATCTTAGCATTCTGGAATCTGCCTTTGTGGAAGGTATTTCAGCCTCTTTCTCCTCTCCCCCGCTGCCCCACTCCGTTACAAAGTTCTCTTGCTCTTTTTTCTCTTGTCTTTGCTTCAGTTTATCTTTATTTATTATTATTATTATTATTTTGAGATGGAGTCTTGCTCTGTCGCTCAGGCTGGAGTGCAGTGGCACGATCTGGGCCCACTGCACCCTCCGCCTCCCAGGTTCAGTGATTCTCCTGCCTCAGCCTCCTGAGTAGCTGGGATTACAGGCAGTCATCACCATGCCTGGCTAGTTTTGTTTGTTTTTTTTTTTTTTTTCTGAGACGGAGTTTCGCTCTCGTTACCCAGGCTGGAGTGCAATGGCACGACCTTGGCTCACCGCATCCTCCGCCTCCTGGGTTCAGGCAATTCTCCTGCCTCAGCCTCCTGAGTAGCTGGGATTACCGACACGCGCCACCATGCCCAGCTAATTTTTTGTAGTTTTAGTAGAGATGGGGTTTCACCATGTTGACCAGGATGGTCTTGATCTCTTGACCTCGTGATCCACCCGCCTCGGCCTCCCAAAGTGCTGGGATTACAGGCGTGAGCCACCGCGCCCGGCCTAGTTTTGTATTTTTCATAGAGACAGGTTTCACCATGTTGGCCAGGCTGGTCTCAAACTCCTGACCTCAGGTGATTCAGCTGCCTTGGCCTCCCAAAATGCTGGGATTACAGGCGTGAGCCACTGTGCTCGGCCCTGGCTAATTTTTATATATTTTGTAGAGATGGGGTCTTGATATGTTGCCTAGGCTGGTCTCGAACTCCTGGGCTCAAGCCATCCACCTGCCTTGGTCTCCCAAGGTGCTGAGATTACAGGCATGAGCAACCACACCCAGCCTCAGTCAATTTTTCTTTCCCTGTCTTTCCCATGAGTTCGAAGTGTGAGCTGAGTTCCTTGCTCCCATATCTCTGAAGGGAGTCCTCAGCACCAAGGTCTCCTGTCTCAGTGGGGTTACAGCACTCTATTCTGACCACATCAGTGCACTGAACTGTCTTTACCTCCTCCTAGGCTGGGAGCCCTCTCAGCCCAGACACAGGGCCTTATTTGTCTCTGCACGCCCAGTGCCCCGCACAGGAGGAACGAGGAGCCTACCCCTGCTTCTTCCACTTGTGCCCACTTTTCTTTGCATTACCCCAGCCCCCCACCCAACTCCAGATAGTTGGAGAATGACAGACAGGTGACTCTTTGGGTGACTCTCAGCTGTGTCACAGGCAGCAGAAGGTGAAAGTCTGACTGCGAGGGCAGCGTCTTCCAGTGCTGGAGACTCCACAGGCCTCATCCGGTCTCCTTTCAGCCGTCCTCTGAGATGAAGGGGGCTGCTCCATCAGCCAATCCCAAAGCCTGAACTGGGGGTTGAGGAGAAATGAAGCATCAGCTCACATGCCTTTCTGGCGGTTCTGGCTGTGGCCCAGCTTCTCTGTAGCGTCCCTCCTCCCTAACCAGACCCCAGCCACAAATCTCTGCCCTGCTTCTTCCAAACTTCATTCAGCCCCAGGGATGGCTCTGCAGGATGTGTGCAAGTGGCAGGCCCCTGACACCCAGGGACCATCACCTCACCTGCCTCAGGCTGGCGGCTGGCTTGTGCCCCGAGGCTGTGACCCTCAAACCTTTCTGCAGATCCATGGCCCCAGACTGGCCCACGGCACCACCACCCTGGCCTTCCGCTTCCGTCATGGAGTCATTGCTGCGGCCGACACACGTTCCTCCTGTGGCAGCTACGTGGCATGTCCAGCCTCATGCAAGGTCATCCCTGTGCACCAGCACCTCCTGGGTACCACCTCTGGCACCTCCGCTGACTGTGCCACCTGGTATCGGGTGCTACAGCGGGAGCTGCGGCTTCGGGAACTGAGGGAGGGTCAGCTGCCCAGTGTGGCCAGTGCTGCCAAGCTCTTGTCAGCCATGATGTCTCACTACCGGGGACTGGATCTCTGTGTGGCCACTGCCCTGTGTGGCTGGGACCGCTCTGGCCCTACGCTCTTCTACGTCTATAGCGATGGCACCCGCCTGCAGGGGGACATCTTCTCTGTGGGCTCTGGATCTCCCTATGCCTATGGTGTGCTAGACCGTGGCTATCACTATGACATGACCACCCAGGAAGCCTATGCCCTAGCTCGCTGCGCGGTGGCCCACGCCACCCACCGGGATGCCTATTCAGGGGGCTCTGTAGACCTTTTCCATGTGAGGAAGAGTGGATGGGAGCATGTGTCACGCAGTGATGCCTGTGTGCTGTACGTGGAGCTGCAGAAGCTCCCGGAGCCAGAGCCAGAGGAGGAGGCCAGCCACGCCCATCCTGAATGTGCCACTGCCCACAGCACTGTGGAAGATAGAGAGCTCTCTGTGGGGCGAGGGGAGATGACACCAGGAGACTCCAGGATGCCAGCAGGGACTGAGACACTGTGAGAAGCAGGACTTGGCTGGGGGTGGTCTAGGCCCTGGGAGCAGGTGGGAGGATGGGCAGCTAGGGGAGGGTCCTGCTGGCAGCAGCCTCACAGCATCTGACTCTAACCTGTATGGGTTGCTGGCTTCATTTATTGCAAGTCTCCATCCTTTCATGCCTACCAGAGCTATTATGGCTCTGCCCAACAAGTTCCTATTGACTCCCAATGGATTGGTTCAGCCTCCTTCTTGGCACCAAGTCCGTCTTTCAGCGAACACTTGCAGCGTTCACTGCATGCCAGACGCACGCTAGGTGCTAGACCCTCTTTTCTTGCCATTTTCTTCGCTGCTTTTTTCCATCATCTCATCCCCAGTTTGTCTTAGTTTCGGTCCTCTGTGTGTCTCAGCTTCAGCGTCTTTGTCAGTGTGATGAGATGGGGCACCCGGGAGGGGAGCAGCCCCTCTCACAATGAGGTGCAGTGATAGACACCCCTTGGGTGGTGATGAGCTTATCTGCTTTCCTACTGTGCCTTGACCATAATGACAAGAATGATTATTACTCTACTGAATGCAGTTCTCATGACAACCCTTTGAGGTAAAAATGAGTCTCACTTTATAGAAGAGGAATCAGGTTTAAAGGGTTATGTGACTTGCCCAGGGTCACACAGTAAGTGTCGGAGATGAGGCTTAGATCCAGGCCTTCCCTCCAGGGCCCATGCCCTTTCAGCACAGCTCTCCCTCCCAGGCCTCTGCCCTGCCTTAGGTCTCTTCTCTGAAGGCTTCTGGGGAGGGATTCGAGGGAGAAAGTAACTGGGCCAAGCCCCTGCCTGGTGGCCAGGGCTGAATGAACCCTGAGGGCCTGGAGTTGTGAGCTCACAGCAGCTGCCCGCCTCCATGATGCACAGGCTCACGTGGCTTTATCTTCCAGGCCAGAAGCCATCTCCCACAGCCCACTCTTGCTCTCCAGCCTTCTGGGCCTGGCGGTGCTGCTGCCAGACTTCCCCTCCTCCTTTCTTCCCTTTGCTGTCTCTTCAGCCTCTCCTTCCTGAGGCTCCCTCTGGAGAATGAAGACAAGAGGGAGGTGGCTGTGCCAGTGGGAACTGTCTGGCTAGCACATCCTCTCCTGCTCCTCCTGTCCCTGCTCCCACTCCCCCGGAAGCCCAGACTTGAAGATCCAGACTCACAGCTCCAGCGGGGCCACTGCCCCGTTCTCCCCTGGCCAAATGAGACAGAAAGCACTGTTAACCTACGAGATGGGGCCTGAAGGAAGGGTGCTGAAGTTGCTTTCCTCGCATCCAATGCTAAAGTTTTCAGTCCCAAGAATAACAGCCCCCGCCTTCCTTCCTGGATGCCCCTCATCCCAGGCTCCAGCCTAGGCCTGAGCCTTAATCTTGCACCCCAGACTAAGCACTCCTCCAGGCAGGAGCTGGCTTGACAGACTTCCAGACTCTGGCACAGAGTGGGTGACGGGATGGAGGAGGAAAGCTCAGGGAGCTCCAGAAGGGAAAACCCCAGAAAGGACACAGTGGGGAGAAATTGTGGTGGACACCACAGAAAGGTGGCCAGTATGGGGTGACGGGCCTTTAAGCCAGGCTCAAGGAATCTGGCCAGTGGCCTCTGTGGTCCCCCTTCTTTACCCCTTGCTCACTCCTCAGCCTCAGGAGAGGAGATGTGGGACTTGGGAACTGCTAACTGGAAGGCAGAGGTCCCAGCAGCCTAGTCCTGGAGGAAGGGTGTGAGGAGGGGCAGCTTTTGCACGGGGTTCAAGTGTTTGGACATAAGAGGGTATGTATTCGCGTCCACACGTGTATGTGGTTCTGTGTCCAGGTATAGGTGAGTAATACAGGATGGGTGTGTGCAGGTGAGTGTGGCGGCTGAGGCATGTGCAGTTCCTGTGTGCAGCGGCGAGAAAGAGACTGAAAGAGAAAGAGCAGCATGTGAAGGAGATCAGCCTCTCAGCAGGATGACTGCCAGGTCTTGTCACTTCTTTTGGGGAGTGCTCCAGAGTAAAGAGGAGGTGGGGGACAGGCTCACCCCACTGGTTCTCTACTTCCTCATCCTCCCAGCCCTATCCTGAGCCTCCGGAGAGCTCGTGAGGACAGCCTGCTCTTGCACAGCTTTTGGGCTCTCAGAGGTCCAGGGTTCCAGCCTTCAGCAGAGTAAATGACCTGAATTCCAGCACTGGCGTGAGGGTCCTTGTTCTCCCACTTCCTCCTTGTCCTTATCAAGCAGGTGGGGAAGATGTGAGGGAAGGTATGTTCACATTGAAGCAGCTTTCCCCAGCTGCCAGCACCCCACACGTAGAAGGGGGAGTCACAAGGACCTGTCCTGCCTTGCCTACTTGTGAGTGCCTCTGGAGCCCCGGAGTTGAGAGGCCTGGGTTCTCATGCTGGTTCCTGGGTGGACCCCTTCTCTGGGCATTGGGAGATGCTTGCAGTTCCGGCTCAGCTCCCACCCAGTTGACTGCTTCCGTCCCTCAACAGCCTGCCTCCCTGGTCCCTCTCCCTCCTCCGTTGTGTTCTGCAAAGAGTAAGACCAGGGACTGCCAGAGAATTAAAGGTGGGAGGGGCAGGCCTAGATTCAGTGTGACCATCTCATCCTGCTCCACTCTTCCCCTGCTTGGCACCATGAGCCCCAGGAAAGGCTGGCTTGCCCCCCTGCTGCCTGCCACCCCCATTATTTTCCTAGTCTGGAACCCCCTTCCCCTCTTAGCCTTTTATCCCTTTTGCCCTCTTCTCAGTAGCTCTCACTCTCCACCCTCTACTTCTCCTGCCCACCTTGCCCTCAGGCCAATGCCCGTATCTCTTTTTTTTTTTTTTTTTTTTTTTGAGATGGAGTCTCCCTCTGTCATCCAGGCTGGAGTGCAGTGGTGTGATCTCAGCTCACTGCAATCTCCGCCTCCCAGGTTTAAATGATTCTCCTGCCTCGGCCTCCTGAGTAGCTGGAACTACAGACATGCTCCACCATGCCTGGCTAATTTTTCTATTTTTAGTAGAGACAGGGTTTATGCTGTTGGCCAGGCTGGTCTTGAACTCTTGACCTCAAGTGATCCATCTGCCTCAGGCTCCCAAACTGCTGGGATTACAGACTGAGCCACCATTCCCGGCTGAATCCCTATATCTTAATTTCCTTGGACAGTTTGAGACCAACAGAGACCCCAGGAATTTGGTAGTGTTAGTGGGGCAGAGTTATCATCTCCTTACTCCCTCAGGGAATTTAACCCAAGTCCTCCCCTATCTAGAAGAACAGGAAGTGGATTTTTCCCCCAAGGAGAAGGGAGAATGAACTGAGAGGCAATAGGGCCTCGACTCCCATCCTTTGGGACAATGAAGATTTGTATAGAAACCTGAGTGCAAAAACAGAAGCAGACCTCCAGCTTTACAAAATAGAGTGTTTGTTTATTATGAAATTAGAGATGGAGGCCCCTCCCCTTCCTCCCTCTTTCCCCTTCCCCAGCCGCCTCCCCCTTTCCTTCCCCTACTCCCTCATGGGCCTGGGAAGCACACAAGACATTGCCCAGGGCTGGGATGCCCAGGGCTGGGATGCCCAGGATAGGCTGACAGCTGGGCAGAGCTCCAGGGAGGCGGCCACACGGGAAGCTGGAGCTCTTGCCCTGGGAGGCGGGCTGGCTCCCTCTCTCAGCTGGAGGCCAGTGGAGCCAGGATGAGGCTGAGGCCATGAGTGATGGATGGAACCATGCGGGCAGGTCTGTAAGAACAGGGGAGCCAGGTTAGAGGCAGTGGGGAGTGGGGGCCTTTGTCCACTGACTTGCCCCACAGTCTAGAGGCACTGACCTGGGGCACAGCATCCCCTGCAGGAGGGTGGGCAGCAGTGGCTGGAAGTTTCTTTTGATTTTGGGATGGACAACAGAAAAAAAACAAAAAGCCAGTCACAGGGACCCAGAGGGAAGGGAGATGTGGGCAGGAGACAGACACAGAGATGTGTGTGGGCAAGGGAGACGCAGGGAGACTATGTGAGAGCTTCAGGACTGCAGAGACAAAACAGCCACGGAGGAAGGAAAAGAGTCACAGTGAAAGAACACAGGGCCAGGGTTAGGGCCACGAAACCCAGGCCCAGACAGAGGAGCTGTAGACAAAAATCCCTGGAGACACACACGGACTGACTCAGAAGGAAGGAGGTGAGAGCAAGGGCGCTCCGGGGAAGCAAGGAGGGACACAGGGACAGGGAGGAGGCCTGGGGCCCCTGGGCTGCTGCCACCCCCGCCTGGACCCTGTGGGGCTCACTCAGAGGGCCTGTGCCGGCTGCCCCCGCACGGTGGGCCGGGCCAGCGCGGGCGCTCAGGGGGCCAGGGGCTCCTTGGCTCCATACAGCTCGGCCAGGGTGCGGAAGAGCGGACCCCAGTCATCCAGCGGCTCCGCGGGGCTGGGGACACCGCCAGCTTCGCTGCCGGAGCCCAGGGAGCTGAGGGAGCCGCAGGAGGAGCCCCGGCCCTCGTAGCCGTACACCTGCACCGAGTCGTATGGGGGTATGCTGGGGTCCTCGTCTGCCTCGCGGAGCCGCAGCGCCAGGAGCTGTGCCACGTCGGCGGGGCCGGGGGGCCTGGGCTGGTGCGACACCCGGGCCCGGGGCAGCACGTCTCGGCGCGCGGGAGGCCCGGGTGCCGGCGGGGCTGCCCCGTCCGGGTTCTGCAGGGCCGTGATGTCGAAGGCCTCGGTGTCCTCCTCGCCGCCGCCTTCGTCGTCGTAGGTGATGATGTTCTCTCGGACGTCCTCCTCCTCCAGTACCATCAGTGCTTCCTGCTTCTGCCGCCGCAGGGCCACGAAGAGCACCACCAGGGCTGCGCGAAAGACGCGCACACCAGCCCTGAGCCCGCAGGGCTGGGAGCGGGGAGCCTGTCTCCATGTGAACGGCCGACCCATCAGGTGACAGAAGCCGTGTGCCGAGGGCCTGACATCTGGCACACCTTGCTTTGAATTCTGACTTCAGCCCTTACTCGCTGTGTGACCATGGGAAGTTGCCTGACTTCTCTGAAGCCTCAATTTGCCCCTTAGATTACTTGTGTGGAAAATAGTGAAAATACATTTACCTCTAAGGGTTGCTGACACAATAAAATGAAATATCACAAGTGATGTGCCCAGCACCATACTTGGCACAGAGTAGGGGGCTCAATAGACCATTATTATGGCTTGTTGCTGTCATTATGGATTGGCAGGTCATTGGATAGGGGCCAGAGCTTTTCTCTTGGATGCATCAGGTGGT